CCAATCGACAGCTGGTCAAGAGGAATCCGCCGTCGTCTTCTGGTGGAACCGACCTTCGAATCTCTTTATCGAAAAAACTTCCACTCGAAATGGAAGTAAGCTCAACAAGTATGAAACAAGAGATTCCTCGAAACCCAACTTTTCTTCGTATAGTCGGAGTAAGCCATTTTGTTTGGCTCCACCTCGTAAGCTAACTGTCCCTTTTACGCTTCTGTCGTCATGGATACCCCAACATCAATTGCGATTAAGTTGATGTGGTGACTTTTATTTCGAGCCAAAGTACTCAATGAACAGATTCGATTATCGACTTTACCAGAATCCGACGAAGGACTCCTGTTGCTCTGCTGTCCGTTGACATCAGTTTCACCATTTCAATGAGGCGTCCTCTTTTGGTTTCCGTGCTAACTGGCTGAGCTTTCGTAGACATGAAGTAGAACCGGATTTCAGCCAATTCATTGGTTGATTCCTGTTGGTGTACCCTTCATTTTGTTGACAGAGGCGAGTAAAAGAGAATTGAACAATGGCTCCACCGCAAACCGAAAGAGGACTGCCGTGGAGTTGTGAGTGTAGATTTGTGAGAAAACTTCCTCGACGCATCGACGAATCCGTCAGTGCAAGACTGCATGATTCACGATAGTTGGTGAAACACGAGGATATGAAAGGTGGCCGGTTGGATCACATTTTTACCAGAACCTTGCGTCACCAACTCTTCCGTACATATTGTGCATAGTCAAGGCATCAACAAAAAATGGAAGCAATGCAAACATCGGATTATTCACATCCGTTATCCATATCTCCATTTGTGATTATGTTATCCAATCCATGCCCCTCCTTGCGTCATTGAGCCTTGGTTACTCTCTTCAGAATGCATACAGTTTTAGCAGCTGCTTTCCAATCCACATGTACACACGTACATCCAAAGACAACACTTTATTTAGAAACGCATTTATTCAAGTTATAAGTAGCTTTCGAGACAATAAGTAACGCTTGCTTACGCTCTTACACAATTATTAAGAATAATATAAAAAACTAATTGACCAACTTGTAAACAGGTATACATTAATCGAACTGGACGGACTAAAACTAATCATTTGATTGATTATTGAGTTTTATTTTAATAATTGAATTAATGGCTTTTGAAAATGTAGATTGGTGATAATAATACCCCGGCCCACTGTCACACGACGCCGATGAATCTTTGCTAAGCTTTTGTCTACCGTTCCGTGATTGATATCTTCAAAACAGGACGGCATGCTTTACGATATTTCACCAAACACAAGGTCAGTGAATGTGGCCCAACTTCATCTACTGAACGTGATAGCTCCTGATTTGGTTAACTATCATGTGCTTTCTCTACATGCTTGCAGAAAAGTCGTGGCAGTAGATGCTGCATAAAGTCGACGCAATTGTGACCAAATACCTGCATCCTCCCCCAACTCAATCATACTTTAGATCCTGCAATGTTGACGCATGGGATTACCTTCCATTGCACGTGTGTTGTGTGCATCCAATTTGTATGATTTGCGAAAGATGTGAAAGAGAGCGTTTGATTCGAGACTAAACAAGACTTCACCTCTTCCTCGGCCATACATTTTGCTCCTCTCCCCCCTCTGCTTTTTGACGCTGTCTGTCACTATCTGACACTCTCCTGAATCCTATCATACCGCCACAATTAATCTCCGCTAAATTTCCCATACTCATTCCTTGGTAGGTTTTGGTTGTTTCAGAAACCTCGTTTTCTCAACTCGGTTGTGTTGCCAGGTCAACTTAGTTGGACATACCTTGTCTGAGGTCCTCTGTTCCAGTAGTTAGCATAATTCCCAACGTCGGAATGTGGACTTGGTACATGCTTAGGCGCTTCGCCTGCATCGTAGTCGGCATCGTCAGTGAGTCTTGACATTCTTGGCACCAAGATACAACTCAAAGAAATGAGTTAAGTAAATTCCTTAACCGTTTCGGCAGCGAGTTGGCCAACCAATTAACTTCACTACGACAAGTTGTAGCCGAGATCGTTGCTGAGAATGGCGAAATTCATTTATGAGTTTAGGAATGTACCAATTCAACGTTGCGAAGCTGGGAATTATGACAACTAATATAGCTGAGGACTTTGGACAGGGTTGGTCAAAGCTGAGAAAACGAGGTCAGACCACTCCTACCTTTCTGTTGGTGTGAAGAAGGGAGTGAAGAGGGTTCATAAGTTTGTCTCACCGAAAGCTGTAGAGGGATTACCTTGAAGCTAAGATTGTAGATTTGTGCGAATCGATAATGTGACGGAGATCGTCAAAGCAGGACATCATGTTTATAAATACACGAAAAGTACTCCAACAACAATTTATTAAGAGCTTATTTACAGACAAATTTTTTTACATATAATGAAAGACAACATAATACAATTTTAAGTCCTCCAAAGAGGAGCCTTACATGAGACCCTGACTTCCCCAAGAAATAGGGCGCCATAATCTTTTTGTTGCCATCAAAGTGGGTACTGTCGAGATTTTAATCCCAACTTTTCCTTCAGTTGTCTGTCCCTAATTCCGTAGAGCGTTGCGCCACCCACCGGACACTATCACACAGTCCTCGCTTGAAAGTGGTCTGAAAAGCTCCGAGTCCGACAGGACGCTTGGCAGAAGCGGCAGTTTTTGCTGCTTCTCCGAAATTACACAATTCACGAAACCAATCAGTTTAAGCAGATACTTCGTTTTGGTTCGAGTTCCACTCGAGACCAACACGCGCGACTACAGTTCAAACCAAGTTCAATTAGCGCCAATTGTAAAGGCCAAACTCATGTCGTGAAGGTATCAGTTGAGGATAAGCAGAACTGACAGAACTCAGTCCTGGTCTGCTGAGATGGGAAGAGGAGAGGAGGCTGGGTGGTGGTCCTCTCGTCCGGCGTTCATTTATTTTTGTTGCTGGCCCAAATGAGCAGAGGAGGGGGGTGGTGCAATTCGAGCGGTGGAACAAAACCGTAAAGATAGTGCCGCTATCTACGACCCGCATTTACAGTACACGATGGCCGACAATCATATCTCATGTCGAGACATCGGACACGCTGTCCAATCGGTGCAATGTTGTATGACATTTGACGCTTGACGCGAAAGAACGACGTCAGACAGTGCAAAATAAAAGACAAAACAGGACAACACAGAACCGTACCACAACGCAAATCAACGCACCGCTAGATCCGGCGAATCGCCTTAGCGCATGTCGGTTGTTCTGAAGTCCGTCTTTCATTCACATAAGCAGTTGTGACATAGTTTTCGTATGTAAATAGAGCTTCGAGACTACCAATAAATCAGTAGTATGAGATGGATTCACCCAATTTCGTTTAAGGTGTGAAGGACTGGTAGAAGAAGAAGAAATTTCCCACAATGAAATGAGTAGAGCTGACGTTTCCATTGAATTTCACATCGTCTTGTTTTCCCCAAAATTCGATATCATCCAGGCACCAGTGGACTGCAGTTTCGACCTCGCATCGGCCTTAACAACACCCCCAGCGGGAGTCGAACCGTGTCAGTGCAGAGTGGGAGCTTGACACGTTAACCACTCGACCACCTTGCCACGAGTGCCCTTGGGCCACAGGACAAATGTGAATTTCAAGGAAGGTAAGGCCTTTTTTGTCATATCATATTCTTTGGTGGGAATGTTGATGAAGAAAACGTATATTTGCTATAACAATTGACAGCGTTACTTTATTTGTCGCATTAAAGTATTGTTTTAAGACTATCAATAAATCGGTAATATGAGATTTTTTCACCCAATTTAGTTTAAGGTGATGAAGAACTGGTAGAAGAAGAATTTTCCCACAATGAAATGAATAGAGCTGACGTTTTACATTGAATTTCACATCTTCTTGCTTTCCCAAAAGTTGTTCTCTCCAGGCACCAGTGGACTGCAGTTTCGACCTCACATCGGCCTTATCAACACCCCCAGCGGGAGTCGAACCGCGACTGTGCAACATGTGAGCTTGACACGTTAACAACTCGGCCACATTGCCACGAGTGCCCTTGGGTCACAGGGCAGATGTGAATTTCAAGGAGGGCCAGGCCTTTTGCCATATCACATTTTTTGGTGTAAAATACTTTAATCACTTCTTCTTCAAGTACCCAAGTTTGTCCCACTCAAGGGGTACCGAAGCCATCCGTAGAGCTTTCATACTATCCAAATAAGAAAAGAAAAGTGAGGCTGATGACCTAAATGAGGAAATGAGGAAAAAGGGAAAAAATAAAAAAGATTTAAGAAAACAAAATGAAAAAATATTTATAAACGAAACTTAAAAAATGTGTGCCAACCCACAAATGTTGTGGTTCAACTTTGAACCTGATCAAAGCAAACAGTACCACAACATTTGTGGGTTGGCACACAAGAGACTAGGGCATTGGAAGTCATAGACTTGGTATTTGGGATAGAAATATGATAGACGCGGCGGAGACTGGATCTAGTTGGCTGACAGTAGGCCTGCTTTACCAGAGACGTGGTTCATGTACCAAAGGCTTGACGATGAGAAGTACTCAGAGGCTTTAGCCTCGAATAAGTCACCCAGACGCAGAGAGGGCGAATAACGCTTCGAGTAGCACAGATGGGGTGATAGGGGTCGATTGAAATACATGAACCAGGGAGAGAGCAGACGGATCTTACGGGGCAAGAGAGAGCCTGTAATAAGACCTAGGGAAGGAGAACGGCGTAACAATATGGAAGACTTTGGTCAACATTCCCAGCACAAGGGGGAAGGGAATGATAACGACAGTGTGGAGTGTGAAGGGTTTTCATGAATGCCGCTCGAAGGAGCACACTACACTACATTAAAAATAAGCACGGTACAAATTGTGACAGTGAAGGTGTGATATGAGGATATAGGAAATGTGAATAGGCCAGGGCAGAAGGGGAGATACCACAACTGTTTAGCACACGTTTGGTCTAAGGATGGGCCTTACTTGTCTCTTTGACGAGTTGTAATATGGTGTTACGAATGGCAAGACTCACTGAAGATTCTGGCGAAACGTCTGGGAATGTACCACGTCCACGGTCCTACTCTGGAAATGTTGATGCAGACAATGGACTCTGGACAAGGTGCGTTTCTCTGAGTCTTCCTACCAATAGCACCAAGTTGCGAAAACAAGGTCAATCTATTTCTATAGGAAAGGACCAAAAACTAAAAATAGGCTCATGAACAAAACCAGACGTGTCCGACCTTGCGCAATCGGAGTGATGGT